TGCCAAGGTTTAGAGGCAGCTCCAGCACGAGCAAGCGCAAGCAGTACTCGAGTACTCCATATAGGCTGATGAGAGCCATCCAATTACTTTCAAAGGCAGTCGACATAAGTGACTCCACACACTGATGCTGACTGCCTGACACGGTTGTCATTCCAACCAATTGTTTTTTTAATAAACCATGCGTGTTGAGCGTGTGGTTTTAACAGGTAAAACGGTGGGGTATTCAGACCATCACGGATTTTAAGTCCTCTCTGCAGACCTGTGACAGCTCCAGCTGTGACAGCTGAACACCCTGAACGAATTCTTCGCCCGCTTTGAGGTCGACAACAACACCCCAGCACAGAAGACCCCACCTCCTCCTGGCAACCAGGTGCTGACGCTTTCTCGGGATAGCGTGAGGCGATCCCTCAGAGGGACAAACGCACTGACAGCGGCAGGCCCTGACAAGACTGTGCTGTGTGAGAGACTGTGCTGAGGAGCTCACAGACATCTTCAACACCTCACTGAACCAGGCTGTTGTCGCCACACGCCTAAAAGCCACCACCACCATCCCGGTCCTGAAGAAATAGTCTCCCCCCCCCACGACAATGATTACCACCCGGTCGCACTCACCCCCAACCTTATGAAGTGCTTCGAGCGGTTAGTCATGCAGCACATTAAGTCTGCCGCACCCCCCCCCCCCCGGCCCCTCACCAGCTCCCATTCGGCCCCTCCAACTGCGAACGCCATCTCCATTGCCCTCCACTCACCACTCACCCACCTGGAGACCAAGGACTCACACGTCAGAATGATGTTCATCGACTTCAGCTCAGCATTCAATACCATCATCCCGCAGCAGCTCATCCACAAACTGGACCACCTGGGGCTCAACACCTTCATGTGTAACTGGCTGCTGAACTTCCTGACGGGGAGACTACAGGCAGTTTGGGGAGGCAGCAATACGTCCAGCACGATCATGATGAACACGGGGGGCCCCCCCAAGGATGTTTGCTGAGCCCCCTCCTCTTCGCTCTGCTGACCCACGACTGCACTCCCTCATCCAGCTCCAACCTCTTCATTAAGTTTGCGGACAACACGACTGTGGTGGGTCTCATCAACAACAACAAAGAGACAATCTACAGGAGTGAGATGAGCAGGCTGGCCTTGTGGCGCAAAGACAACAATCTCAGCCTGAATATGTAGAAGACAAATGAGATTGTTGTGGACTTCAGGAGAACGCACACCCAGGATGCTCCACTGACCATTGACGGTGCCGCAGTGGAGAGGGTGAGTAGCACCCAGTTCTTTGGTGTGCATTATCTCTGAAGACCTGTACTGGAGCCATAATACCACATCACTGGCCAAAAAAGCCCACCAGCGCCTATACTTCTTCTGCAAACTGAGGACAGCAAGAGCCCCGCCCCCCATCATGCAGACATTCTATAGAGGCACCATTGAGAGCATCTTGAAGTCCAAGATGGCGCTCGAGTAGGCAGCCGTCGGCAAGTGCTCTCATGGGCCTTGCTTTTTTGTTGTTTTTGTGTTTGTTTTGTCACTTTGTGTTTGTTGTTGCGTCGTGTGGACCGGAAGTGGATTGTTTTTCAGCATTTTTTTGGCCACGACATTCATCGAGGAGGAGACTCGGTGCTTGGTGGTTGCGCCTTCTCGGCAGCATTGGTATACCAGCACTGTTTTTGATTGGGAGGAATGTTGGGGCCATTTGACTGTCATTGGTGGACAGCTCTGGGGCGCTTGTGTTTTTTGGGGCCTGTAATGGGCAGCATTTTACACAGCCCCGCTTTGTTCAGCGGAGAGATCAGTGCTGTTGGACGGTCTGCGGCTGGATGGATGCAAGGGTTGAGGAGCCGACAATGAGAAGAGAGGAGCATCAGCGCAGAGCGCCGATGCGGATGTGGAACTGGGAGTCGCGGCTTGGAATTGAAGCGGATTACGTGGGACAGGATATGTGAGCCAATCTCTTTTCGTCGATGGACGCTACAGCTTCGTGTTTGCTTTCAAAACTTAGCTTGTAGCAGACGTGCACATTTTCAGCATGACGTCTCTGATCCACTGGTGAAAGGATACTTTGATCCTCTCCTCTTTCATGTATAACTGCTTCAAACAACAAAGTGTATGCAGGAAAAGTGATTAAGATTGCATGACTGTCTGTGTCTTATGTTGTGTCATTTTGTTATTTTGAATTTAAGATGGCGCTGCGAGAGTGGCTGCCTTTCCAGCAGCTCCTATATTTTGTTCTTCTACTTCTTTCTTTCATAACTTTGCTGCTGTGAAGTGGGAATTTCTCTTTTGCGAGACTAATAAAGGATTTCTTATCTTATCTTATCTTATCTTGAAAAGCTGCATCACCGTGTGTTACGGCACTTGCACTGTGTCCTGCCGAAAGAGTCTGCAATGCATTGTGAGAGCAGCTGAGAAGATCATTTTTGTCTCTCTTCCCCCACTCGTGGACATCTCCAACTCTCGTCTGACCAGCAAAGCCATCCGGATGGCAGGTGACAACAGCCACCCATCTCAGAGCCTCTTCGACCTACTGCCGTTGGGGAGAAGACTATGATGTCTCTGTGCTAGAACCAGCCGGCTCAAGAACAGTTTATTCCACCAGGCGGTCAGGAGACTCAATTCCCTCCCTGTTCTGCCCGCACTCCCCCCCCCCGCCTTCTATCCTTGCCTCCTGCCACAGACTGTGACCCCGCCTCAGCATCTGACATCCGATTATTGCACTTAAACAATTCACTACCGAAGCTTTAACCCGCAATAATCACATATGCCCTTGGTTGTCTGTTATTTGCTATTTATAGTTTTATTTGTTTATGTTTATATATTTATGTCTTTATGTATTTTTATGCAGTTCAGTTTGATTCCCTGATTTTTAGCTGTGTGTTTCAATGCACACACACACACACGCACACACACACACACACACACACGCACACACACACACACACACACACCTGTTTGATGGAGACCCAGAGAGGTGTGATGAAAACCCGAGAGATACATCCAGATGACCATACCTGAAGCACTGGAAACTGCCAGACAAAGGCTCCAAGCCTTGTCCAGCTGCCTGAAGAGGTACACGAACATGAGTGAGGCCAGACGAATAAACAGGCTGTTCACAACACAACCTGCGAAAGTGTACGCTCAGTGGCAGGGTTCAAACAGCAGAGCAGACCCACCAAGACTGGAAACTGAAAGGTACGCGAAAGACATATGGGAGAAGGAGGTCGCACATAACACCAGTGCAAAATGGCTGGTGACTCTGAGAGAGGAACACAGCAACCTCCCCTGAACAGAACCCAGTTACCATAACAGTGGCAGATTTACAGGAAAGAGTCTCAGGTATGAAAAACTGGACAGCACCTGGCCCGGAATGGTCCACACATACTGGCTAAAGAAACTCACAGCACTCCATGAGCGCCAAGCAGCTCAAATCAACCAGTTGCTGAGGGATGGGACTCACCCAGGATGGCTAACCGAAGGGCGAACGATCCTGATCATGAATGTCTCAGACAATGGGGAACAGAGGATGAGGTGCTGGAAGAGGGACCATCATGGGAGGACAAGCCCCTACACGGGATGGACCACCGGACCATAACTGAAGTGGCTGATCTCAAGAAGTCCTATCAGTGGCTAGAGAGGGCTGGCCTGAAGGACAGCACAGAGGCACTCATCCTGGCTGCTCAGGAGCAGGCCCTGAGCACCAGAGCCATTGAGGCCCAGATATGCCACACCAGACAAGACCCAAGGTGTAGGTTGTGCAAAGAGGCACCTGAGACGATCCAACACATAACTGCAGGGTGTAAGATGCTGGCAGGGAAAGCCTACATGGAACGCCATAACCAGGTGGCTGGCATAGTCTACCGAAACATCTGTGC